CCCACCCCCCCAAAAAAAAAAAAAAAAAAACACTCAAAATCCACGCTTTACTGACGAGAACCAAGGAGGGATTTCTTTTTTTGTTTTTTTTTTTTGATCAGTTACATAATAAATAAAATCCAGCCGTTGTTGTTGCCCCCCCCGGTGGTGCAGCGGAGGGACAACAGAAATGAAATCAAACGACCTTCTGTTTTTTAATGCAGTCCCCACTGACAGGGCGGTCGGGGGGGCGGTCTGGGGGGGGGGTGAGTGGAGACCCTGTGTGTCATCAGTCATCTGAAACATCTAAGGTTGCTCCAAAGCCGACGAACCGTGTGGGGAAATGAATGAATAATGTTCTGCTGAACGCTAGCTGCTATTTTGCTCGGTACCCTTGAGCAAGTCACTTAACCTCGCGTTGCTCCGGCGGAGCAACCGCAGAGGTGAGCAACAGCAGATGCCGGGGATAATTCATCTCGGAGGTTGTACCGCACGTGCCGCGAACAGGGGGGGCAGTAATGAGTACACGTCTTCTGCTGCTTTAAATTCACTCATTCGTTCACATTGGCGTCACCAGAACCAGTACAGTACAGTACAGTACAGTGCAGTGCAGTGCAGTACAGTACAGTGCAGTACAGTACAGTACAGTACAGTGCAGTACAGTACAGTACAGTACAGTGACTGTAGTACTTACTACTTTCCCGGTGCTGTAGTTTTTACTGAAGTTTTTTCATTACTGAATCAAGTAAAACAAAAAAACAAAAAATGTATTTTATTCCGGGCTCTTCTTTTTTGAACCTAATTCTGTTTTGTTTTTTTCTCTTCTTTCTGCAGTGCAACAACGACTACACCCCGGTGTGTGGCTCCAACAATCAGAACTACCAGAACGAGTGTTTCCTGCGCAGGGACGCCTGCAAGCAGCAGTCTGAAGTACTGATCCTGTCAGAGGGGGCGTGTCCTGCCGGTGCGTACCTTTTACAACACACTGACACCAACACGTCACTGAAGTACACGGTGTATGTGAAGTACTCCGTTTGGCCACAGCAGGATGTCAGGGAGACACACACACACTCCAGGCCAGTAGGTGGCGGTGGTGCTGTTTAAAATTTGCTTGATTTCAGATGCTTTAAAGGAATCGTACGAGCTGAAATTTTTTTTGTTCCGGTACTAATGAATACACGTGTCATTACACCTGTAGCTCCGCCCCCCTACCAATCATTTTAATATTTTTTGTCGAAAAGGTTATAGCTCTACACCTCCAGCAGAGGGCGCCGCAGGCAGCTGCCTCTGTGACCTGTGCCGAGAGCCCGTTCTGTTTTGTTGACAGTCAAAATTAACAAATGCATTTCCTGCGGAACTGTCCACTCGGTGTGAACGTTAGCGTGAACGTTAGCGTGAACGTTAGCGTGAACGGTTGTGAACGGTCAGTCGTTACTGTCTGTTGGATGACTGTTATAAAACAGGTAGGAAGAGGTGAGAGTGATGTAACTCCCCCAGGTGTGAGGCAACGCTGAGGCTCAGTGTGGCGCCACCAGAGGACTGTCAGGTCCCTGCAGGACAGGATGAAAGCACCGGTACTGTTACTGGTACTTGTACTGTTACTGGTACTGGTACTGTTACTGGTACTGGTACTATTACTGGTACTCTTACTGGTACTGTTACTGTTACTGGTACTCTTACTGTTACTGGTACTGTTACTGATACTGGTACTGGTACTGGTACTGGTACTGTTACTGGAACTGTTACTGGTACTGTTACTGTTACTGGTACTCTTACTGTTACTGGTACTCTTACTGTTACTGGTACTCTTACTGTTACTGGTACTCTTACTGTTACTGGTACTCTTACTGTTACTGGTACTCTTACTGTTACTGGTACTCTTACTGTTACTGGTACTCTTACTGTTACTGGTACTCTTACTGTTACTGGTACTCTTACTGTTACTGGTACTCTTACTGTTACTGGTACTCTTACTGTTACTGGTACTGGTACTGGTACTGGTACTGTTACTGGAACTGTTACTGGTACTGTTACTGGAACTGTTACTGGTACTGGTACTGTTACTGTTGAGACAGTTTGTTAAGTAGAAAATAAAAAGAAGGTTCCGCGGCTGTGAACTCTCATTGTGTTGCACTTAAATAATGTGGAAAAGCATAAAGTGAGAATAATTCTCCTGCTGCCAAATTGTCATCGTCGGTTACTGCAGCGCTGTCGCCACCAGGCAACGCTGGAAACAACAGCCACTGAGTCACGCTCCGTCACCAGAGTCGTTCCACGGTTCTTCAAATTTGTCCGGATACCTTTTTTTTTTTTAATCTTACTTAACGTTGTACTTCAAATAACGTGGTTCAGATTCGTGTGTTTCCATAGAATCAAGGATCTGTGCAGATCGGTGTTTTTTTGTGTATTGATATTTCTCACTCTTCTACTTTTATTATTAATCTGACCCTTTAACAAAATGGCAGTTTCAGCAGAGACCCTCGTTCTGAGCGCCACCTATGGGATGAAACTGAATTTTTTTAATGTTTGTCTGAGGGGAGGGGTGTTTGGGGGGGAGTTTGCTCTGCGGATACCAGCTTTGTCTTTATCTTATATTAGGTTTCTCAATGTGGAAGAAGGGCCGCCTTTGTTCCTTTGTAGTTCAAAGGAACTCCATGAACACCACGCGGCCCAGACTGAGAACGTGGAACACAACCCACAAATGAGCGCGGTGGACAGAGACACACACGTTTGACCGGTGTGTGTGTGTGTTTATGACCATGACGTTCCATTTCCTCCTCAGTCTCCACTCTGCTGCTGCTGCTGCTGCTGCTGCTGCTGCTCCTGCTGCCGACTGAGTGACTGACTGAGTCGACCAGAAAAACCTCACGTACCACTAAAAAATCACAGCCTGTGGATTCGCACATTAACACCGTGCAGTAATCACACACTCCTGTGCGTGGGCGTCTTTCTGGTTGTTGTTTTTTTTTTTTCCCCTAATTATTCGTGTTAACATTGGAACCTGTCGTTCTAACATTAGTCATGCTGCATCGAACGTCCAAAAAAAAAAAAACACCACAAAAGAAAAAAGTGTACTCGTGAGTACATGTGAAGTATCGCCCACTGTATGAGAATACATCATAACAGGAACCAGTCATATCTACTCAGATTAACTCGTACTCGTTAGCCTTAATAGGTGTTATTTACAGTAGATGAGAGGCCACCTGGTGGCAGTTGCGGTTACTGTGGTTGGAGTTCGCACGTATGCAGATGACGTTCACTAAAGCTTTAACATGTTGTTTGTTCTGATCTTTTTAGTCGGGGTTCAGCAATACCAGTGGAATGAGTGAGTGGTTCCAAAGTAGGGGGCGCCCACCCTCCTGAGGGACATGAGGTGTGCGGGCAGGGACATATCGATTTATATTTCTATATTTTCTAAAGAAATTTAAAAAAAAAAATTTTTTTGGCATAAAATGAAGTAGAGTTTCTGGGGTAAATGTGTGGGGGGGGGCAGCGAGGGGGGGGGGCTGTTTTAATGTTGTTGTCTTTCAAACACCTGAGTCTGTTCTTATATGAACCACCACAGACTGCACCACCTGTTGGTCGGAATTAGAGTTACCTCCGCAGTGGAACATGTTAAAGTCACTGATGCAACTGGCAGTAAGGAATTTTTTTATTTTTTTTTTTTTTGAACACAGACTAATCACATGCTGCGACAGAAACATCCTTTATTCCTCTCTCTCTCTCTCCCCCCCTCCCTCTCCCTCTCTCTCTCTCTCTCTCCTCTTCCCCTCAGAGCTGGGCGGCTTTCTATTTCCATCTTCCTAAATCCCATTAGCAGCAACAGTACACGGTGTAATGGATATATGTCAGCTTGGCAGCTCGGATGAAAGATATCAGGAAATCTGTTGGGAAACCTGAAAGAAAAATCTGGACGTGGAGTTCAGGCTGTAATCTGAACTCTTCGCTCCTCATCGGAGCAGATTATCTTTAAAAAAAAAAAAACAGAGCTGGGCGTGCTCGCTACTAAAACGAAAAGATAAGATAAGTGACGACACTGACGGTGGAATTTGATCGCAGCCCGCAATCAAATCAAAACGTACTGTACTCCATCAGAGAAATATGGGTCGGTTACAAAAATAGGTCTTATTCAGGTTTGATACGAAGAAAAATCTGCCCACGGTGCGGAGGCAGCCTACGTTGATTAGCAGGGACTTGAACCTCTGACCTCTGTCTTCAAACGCTGGTCAGCTCCAGCTCGGAGCAGTTAAGCAACAGCTTAGCAAAGCGAAAAACAGCCAAGCGGGCTATTTCCCCCCGGAGGAGGGGAGTTAAGCTAAGGCAAGTGCTCACGTAGCATTTTCCGGCTCAGTTCACAGAGTGAAACAAAAGTTCCAAGTTGGAACTTCCCGGTCGTTAGAGGAGAGGGTGGCGCTGCGTTTAATCGACACGCCATTAAAATGTTGATGACATGGTTTAATCACTGCTGTGTTTGACTGCGTTGCCTAATCACTGACAGATGACGTGAGCCATATGTTTGGCTGACGGCTGGTGTTAGCAGAACCGGGCGCTGCACCGCAGTCGCTGGTACGATCACTTCCTCCGATCTACGCAGTACTACGGATATGTGTCGTTAGCTCAGTTGGAGTACGGAAAGTATTCATCGTGGTACAACATCACAGCTCTTTTATTGTGTATTGTGTCAAGAATCTGGCGATACGATACCTATCACGATACAGGGGCAACGATACGATATATTGCGATATACATTCACTAGAGAAGAACGAAAAGAAAAATTAAATGAACCAACACCAGGAATATTTGACTGGGAATTGGTGATAAAAAAAAAAAATCAATAACTGATGGAGGAGGAGATTGATACGGTATCAGGAAACGGAATATCGCAATATTTCAGTGTATCGATATTTTCTCACAGCTATTGCTAATATTCTTGATTTCCATGATTGCGACGCCTCCTCTTCCTTGGATTTTTTTCTAATTTACACGATAATCCACAGAGGAAAAAAAGTGATAATTAGTTTCTGTCAATATTTTGAGTTGTTTGTTGAATACAACGATTATTTGCAGTTTCAAATATCCGTCAGTGTAAATGAGTTTCTATAATTAATCAAAAAAAAATGAAAAAAAAAAACCCAACTGGATCAGCCTGACGTTCTACTGAGGATCAACCAACAGGATCAGCCTGACGTTCTACTGGAAAAAACCCAACAGGATCAGCCTGACGTTCTACTGAGGATCTGGCAACAGTTCACTTGTTGTCTGATCCCACGATGACGCACATTATTTCACGGCTTTAAATCTTAAACTGCGATGACTAACATCGCACTCGACTAATATCTCGTTAGTCAGAGAGCGCTAACAATAGTCAACCGTGAAAATCGAAGGTATTATGAGGGTATAAAAATGTCAGAAATCCTCCGTAAAAAAATCAAATCTCAGGATTCTAATTTGAACTGCAGTAAATCATAGTAGTTTATGAGGTATTTTGTAGTAAAACTGACGACTCGGTACTGTTCCTTGGTACTGTTGCTTGATTCTCTGGACTGAATTAGACGGTTCTAGTACTTCTCCGGTACCGTTGGTTCCATTGTACAGGTTTTCGCTGAGTACTGACTTCACCCATCTTTACAACCCAGAGATTAAAAGTCAAACTCCCTGATGTTCCCGCGACTTTCAAATGGAACACGGAATTGTTAACGCGCAACAGATCGCGAATAAATCAACTCTGGGCCTCAGCTCTGCCGGAGCGCACAGATGTGACAGACGTGTGTGCGTCTTTATGGTTTTTGATCATTTTGAATTTTATTTAACATGAGAAAAAAACGCGCTGGACTGCAGAGTGAGCAGAACCTTTGTGGAGACCCGCGGGTCGCATCCCTCAGTGTCGGCTGCCAGGACACATCTGCTGCTGAGGCCTAACGCTAACTGGGTTATTTACAGTGGAAGGCAGGGAGGTGTGTGTGTGTGTGTGTGGGTGTGTGTGTTGGCAGCACGTTAAGGGTAATAAAGATTTTTTTTTTCCGCTGGTTCGTCTTCTCTCGTCTGACATTACATGCACTATTACCAGTCAGAACCAGTACAATCACCAGGGTAATTAATTTTCCAATTACAAAAATGTCGGATTTATGGATGTCGACGCTGCGTGACGAGAATCCACACAAATACAACAACGCCGTGGTTCTCCTCCTTTTCATGAGTCAGCGAAAAAAAAAACTGACGCAGTCATTTCCTCAAGTGATTCACAGTCGACACATTTTTTTTTAGAAAATCAAACGGTCTCGTCTTGGGGTCAGTGTGACCTCACATTTGTCGGACAGGCAGGTTGAACGTGGAATGTTCCGTTCCCCTTTGTCGTTTTGTTCCGTTTTATAATTCTGCTCTTTTTCTCCTTAAACCTCGGCCTCTGTCGTGGCCGAAGCGTTTCATTGATCTCCACCTCGTGGTTTAAGCTGAAGCTCACTGACGCACTGACGTCCTACAGGTGGCATATATTATGCTAACTATCGCGTAAATGTTACGATTTGGCTGCTTAACCTATAAATGTAAAATTAGCTAATATATATATATATAATATATATCCAGGCAATAAAATACAGCTTAAAGATAATACAAACCCAAAAGTTTTTTTATTACTGCGCAAATCTCACAATTTCATTAAATATATATATTATATATATGTGAGAATATATGTATATGTAAATGTCAACATATATAAATATGTAAAATATGTATATATGTGTTATGTAAATATTTATATAGGTGTAAATATGTTTATATTTTATATATGTATATAATATATTCATATATGTGGAATATATTTATATATGTAAACATATATTTATATATATGTAAACATATATTTATGTATGTGTAAAAGTATGTAAGTATTAAGTATTATATTAATAAGTATTTGAATTGTAAAGTGTACACATGTGCTAGCTGTGCTAGCTGCTAGCTGCTGTTACTTCTTTGTTTTTTTTTTTATTAAATCATGGACTGATTTATCGTCGGTCTGTGTCTCGGACCAGACTGATATTCAAATATAAAAAGCTTTTTCTTTTTTTTTTCTTTTTTTTTTTAAATGGAGATAATTAAATAGAACGGTGATTAGGCCTAAATGAAGTAGAGATTTAAAGTATGTTCTGTGCTTTTCATTGCAGCCACTTATAAGATATTAATGCACATTTGCATTGTGAGGCTCCATTATCATTTGGAGACCATTAAAAGAAATCCGTCGGGCGAAAAGGGAAAAACGTAAACACAAGCACTAAACTTTCATCCTGGCATCGGTACCAGTCCCCCCGATTATATTCACATCCAGCTTCATCGTTTGTTCGCCGCTCCTCTTCGCCATCTGCCGCTCTGACCTTAATGAGTCACTCCACGTTTTTCTCACACAGTAAATGCGTTTTATTGAACGGAGGCCGGTGTCACGGCGGTATCAATGTCAGGGCGACTCGCTGCTCTGGGTCCATTTGTGCGGCTGCGGCAGTGGCAGTGTGTCCACCCTAAAACGCTCTCTCTCTCTCTCTCTCCGTTGGGTTTTCCTACGTCAGGGAGCCATTATACCCCCGCGCTCCTCCGAGGCCCCGCCTCGTCTATCCCTGGACGTCTTTAGCAGATCACTTTATCCCGCGGCTCAAGTTCCGCCCAGACTGTTCCTCCCAGCGTCCATCAGTATCACTTTCACAGCCATATTGTTACACAATTCAGTAAAGCCGGCTGTGTTTGAGGGAGCTCAACGCAGAATCAGCGGAAAAGCCACACAGATGCAAACAGAGCGGAAACCTTAAAAAGAAGATTCTCACCGACAAGAGAGCGGGGAAAAAAACTCAGTTTGAATCTGACGTTCAACTTTTTCAGCCTTTTATTCCGTTAATTCAGTGGCTGCGTTTCATTTGTCCGTCGTTTATGTTGATGATGGACCAGGACTGACCACACTGAACATGTCAAATGTGTTAGCTGCTCTCATTGGCTGTCCCACATCTGTAAACAAACCACCGTATTTTACCGTTGTTTTCCGGACTATAAGTCGCTCCGCAGTATCAGTCGCACCAGCCAGCTAGAGTGCCCTCTAGTGGCTGTCAGTGTTAAAAATAACAAATATGTACATTTTCATTGGTACAGGAGTAGCAGATACTTGTACACGAGCCTAGAGTGCCCTCTAGTGGCCGTCAGTGTGAAAATACCAAACATGTGAAATTATATATTTTAATATATTTTAATATATAAAATTTTCAGGAGTATGTCAGTGTGAAAATAACAAACATTTAAATTTTCAGGAGTAGCAGATACTGGTACACCAGCCTAGAGTGCCCTCTAGTGGCCGTCAGTGTGAAAATAAAATATATATTTTAATATATGAGTCAAACCCAGCCAAAGTATTTTGAGTTGGTCATCAAGTATTTATTTACACAAACTAATTCAGGAAATATATAACGATGTGTTTGTACCTTTGTTACCAGTCTGTGATTGGTTCTTTTTTATATTTTTTGTCTCCATTATAATGTCTGAGCCTGTGTTTGATCACTTCTGTTTTTCTCCTCTACAGACGCTGGTTCAGGATCAGGAGATGATGGTAGGATGTCTTTTCTTCTTCTTCCTCCTCTTCTTCCTCTCAGTTCTTCTGTGCTGTACGCGCTCTGGTCTCTGCGGTGGTTCTCTGTTGTTGTTGTTGTTGTTGTTGTTGTTGTTGTTGTGGTTCAACTTCACCTGTTTATCTATTTATTGGTCGTCATCAGACGACGTTATATTTAATTCAAAACTTTTAGCTTCAAGGCAGGGCTGTCGAACTCTGTCCCTGAAGTGGCCCACGTCTACAACCCAGTCTTACGTAGTTGTGGGCCGCACAGAGCTAACATACGTACAACTAGTACTGACGATGATGTAAACAGAAATGAAGGATTTGAACAGAAGTAAATTCAAAATATTAACGTCAAGCAAAATAAAAATGATTTTTTTGTTTATGCTAACTGAACATTTGGATGGATTTAAAGATGAAAAAAAAGGGACTTTACTGCCACGCGTGGTACACATTAGTGCAGACCTTTAGACCACAAGACACGTGAAGATCTGGTGGGCCGCATAACACAACGTGACGTACAGGATTTGGTCCGCGGGCCTTGATTTTGTCAAATATTGTTTTTTGTTTTTTTTAAAAAAGCTGTTAACTGCCGACACTTTATAGTAATAATTATTTTCGTATCTCAGGTGTAGACGGTCGACTGTAGGACCGCTGTGTTTGTGTCAACATTTATAGTTTGGACACAAACGTCCAGCCTGGACTTTGATATTCACATATGGCAGACACAGCAGGACATCGTCTGGGTCAGACGTTCACACCTTTAGGAAAAGGTTTCCGGTGCATGGGGGGGGGGGGGCAGCCGGGCTGGAACATACAGGATTATCCACTCTGTCACTGGGGTTAATCCAGCGCTCACCTGCTGCGTTCCTCCACCGCCTCACGTACACAGAATTTGGACGATTGGAGCAGAAATCAGAATGAGATCCTGGGCTTCTGAGGACAGAGGGTAGATAATGTGTTGACGCCCCCTACAGACTTAACATATATATATATATTTGCAGAAATGTAATTATTTAAAAGGTAGAGATTGAGGTCAGGTTTTGTTCTGTTCTCCCTCTGCGTGGATTAGCACACGCCCTGAAAACAGCTCAGTCGAACTGCTCTACAGGGAGGAAAGTGCTGCTTTTATTGCAGTCGTATGAATGACTTTCCATATTTTATGCAGTAAGAAAAAAAAACAAAAAACAATTCAATAATGCAACATGGTTACCCTGCGGAACGCTGCGGGAAATCGTACAAAACTGTGAGTGCCCGCTTCAAAGTCATCGAAAATCCATCGTTGTCAGCAACGTATCTCCACCGCTGCACCAACGTATAGACAAATATATAAATACATTTCCAAATATATTCTCCTTCTTTGTTTGTTAAATAACGTTAATCGTCGTCTGCATACGTGAGAACTCCCGTGGCGACTGTTGTGTCCTTCAGTTCTAAAAAAAAAAACCAGTTTTGTTTCTTTTCTTTTTTCTTTTTTTTTTTTCCCCCGCTGCTGTTCAAAGCTGTGTAAGATCTTCCACCGTTCACGTTTCTGTTGGCTTATTAAATTTGTCAGAGGCACTTGTGTCTCAGCTTGGCAGCTGCAAGGGAGCTTTAGCGAATAGCGGTTAGTCACAGTGAATACGGCGAATGATAATGCAGCTTCGAGAAATAACTGGAATAATAAAATAACCTGGTTTTTTTTTTCTTTTTCTTTTTCTTTTCTCCGATGGGGTTTCTGTCCAAGTCGCTCCCGTATCTCTGCAGGCTTCAGTTTCTACAGTCTCAGAGCCGGGAGCTGCAACTTCTTTGATTGTTCTTTTTCCCTTTGTGTTGGGTTTTAATGTGTTTTCTCTTTCTTTTCAATTAATAAAAGCTGGGGCTGAAAGAGAAGAGCATTAGAGGAAGGTGATAAGCTGAGGTTTTTTTTTGTTTGTTTTTTTTTTCCTGTACACTCGGGGGCTCTGGTTTCCTGAGCGACTACACATGTAAATCCTGGAGCTGATTAATTCTGTGTCAGTCAACTCAGACTTTCATTTTGTTGCGCTGTGTTTTTCCCCCCAAAACTATTTTTAGGGTTTGGCGAAATCCAAGCATTTTATTGAAAAACAAACGTTACAGATTTTTGCCGATGTGACATAATTATGCTAATATCGATCGGCCGATTATTATCGGACATCCTTAGAGAAAAGTCAACCAGACACAAAGTTGAGTTTGTTGATGGTTTGTTTAAAGAGTGAGTTGACCTGTTGACCTGTTGACCTGTCAACCTGTTGACCTGTTGACCTGTTTACCTGTCCACTTCATTACGTCTTCATGGACCGAGCAAATATGAAAGATTGGAAATGAGATTAGTTCCAGAGAAGATGGCAGAGCCACGGAGGTAGAGGCGGATATGAAACTCCTGCTGGGTCAACACGAGGAGGAACGGGGGAGGAACGGGGGAGTCAAAGAGGGGGAGTCAAAGAGGGGAGGTGGACAGAGACGTGTCCTCAGGAACACAACTCCACTGAGGAACCAGAGGAGGTTCACCCAGAGACGAGGGGGCGGAAAAAGAACGAAAAAAATCTCACTATCAGTTGATTGTCTGACAATATCTGATCAAATGGACCACCCTCAGGTCTTCCCCCTGTGGCGGAGATGGGAACAACAGTCTAAAACGGTTCCTTACTGACGCAGAGCCAGAAATCCTTGGTAAAACAAATAACTCTAGTGTGTCTTTACGAGCTTTAGTCGTAGCCTTTAGCTAACAACACTTAACAAACAATGTTTATTTTCAAGACATAAAAAAATAAAGTAATATTTTAGGGCTTTGTTCGCAGTTGCTTCAAATGAAAAACTGCTGGTTGTTGAATGCTGCTTTTTTTATTATTTGTTTTTCTCTTAAAGGCTGTTTTTTTTAAAAAATGTTTCCTTTGTCTGAAGGACGTCGGTGTCGGTGTTGGTGGAGCAGCGTCAATCAAACCCGGGGGGGGGGGGAAGGGGGGGGGACAGCTAAATGTAGGGTTTGCGGCCGGACGGGTGACTGATGAGGAGGTTTTAGCTGCACAGCTTCACCATGTTTGACTGCGGGTGGTCCGGTTGGTGCCGTTTTAGAACAACGTTATCTTCATGAAAGAAACAGTCAAGATGACGTCACAACACTCTGACATATATATGTATATATAACTATATATGTAAATATATACATATATGTATATATATTTACATATATATTTTTTATATTTTTTAGGCAATTCTTCTGACTGTTATATATGTGGTTCTACATATACATATATATGCATTATATGTATACATGTATATATTTACATATATATTTTTATATTCTTTTGGAGACAATTCTGACACATCAATATCTTAAATATATATGTATCTTAAATATATATGTGTGTATATATGTATATAGTTAAAAATATATATATTTAATATATTTTTTCGCACACACATCAGGATCTTAAATTAATATGTATATATTGGGAAGTATACAGACATATAAGTTTATATACATGTATACATATATACAGACATATATGTATATATTTACATATATATTTTTATATTCTTTTGGAGACAATTCTGACACACCAGTATCTTAAATATATATGTATATATGTGGGTGTATACATACATACATACATATATGTCTGTATATATGTATACATGTATATATTTAAATTGATATATTTTTAATATATTTCTTCGCACGCACATCGGTATCTTAAACAAGACGGTCGTCTCAAGTTCAAGATAAATATATTTTTTCACAATAGCTTTTTCCAGTGAAAGAGTCGTTTTATTCGGGGAGAAAAAGGCAGAGATGTGTTTGTGTGGCATCGGATTGAGAGGGTAAGGTCAAGAGGAGGGTAAACACAAATATATCCTCTAAAGGCAGAATCACTGTAGAGGTCGGAATTGGAAGGAAGGAAACAGGCCGGCCAGAGGTGGAGGAAGAGTGCGGGTGGGGTTTTATGAGCGGGGGAGGAGGTTAAAGAAAGTGGCAGTAAAAGGTGGGTTAGAGTCCTGTTGAGAGGACCTGCAGTGGACGGCCGTCGGGGTAAAAAAGCCAGTGTGTTTTAATAGCCCCGGATAAATCTGCACACATAAACCCCCGGGTCAGCTGGGCAGCTGCCAGGTCCAGGGGCTGGAGCTGGAGCTGTGTGTCGGTGGACGTCATTATGGATTTCCTGCGTAGAGAAGAGGACGATTGAGTTTTCGTTTGGACACCAGATGTGGTGTTTTTCATGTCTTTTTTTTTTGCTGACCTGGCAACTGATTCCTGCCTCCACCTGTTTCCTGTGGCTTCGTGCCTCTGCTCTGCTGATTGGTTGTTTTAATGTGAATGGAGAATATTTGATAGCATTAAACTAAAGAATTGTGGACGGGAGTCAAAACGACCGCCTGGAAAGACAAAAACTCAAAAGAAGGACTGAGAACAAACTGTTACTGTAACATCACCTCATCGTTGTAACATCACGTAAGACGTTACACAGACTGTGTCACTATGGCGTGGACTGTACATGAAATAACCTTCATTAATATTTGATCAGTAGGAGTAGAAGAAAAATATCAATACATTGAAATATCGCGATATTTCCTTTCACGATATCGTATCAATATCCTCAGTTTATTGATGTTTTATCACCGATTCACCGTCAAATATTTCTGGTGTTGCTTCATTTTCTTTTGTGTCTTTACTATGACGACACTAGTGCCTATAGTATCGCAATATATATCGTATTGTTGCCGCCGTATCGTGATACGTATCGTATTGTAAATACCATCCTGTATTGACGCAGTGATTGGCGGAGTACAATTACCTTGGCGTTCACCAAACTTTGTCTGCAGCGCCCCCTTATGTAGACAGAAGTGACGTCAATCACTGGTTTGAAGCTGTGCGTTTTTCGTTGCTCGACTCGATCAAAACCACAGCTCAAAATATTGTGACACATATTCAGGATGATTTTTTTTTTTTTACGTCTGATTCTACTCATACTTTCATGGTTTTACTCCTAATTAAT